GTAAGGACTGCAGGTATTTTGTATCACTGGTGTCTGTACAAGATTAGCCTCAGCTGAGTCGATCCTTGGTCTACAGTGATTTCTTTATCTTGCCCCAAGAGAAATATAATTATGGAAATATAATTTCCATTTTCCTTTGTGTTGTTGTTGTTAGGTGCTGTTGAGTCGGCTCTGACTCATAGTGACCCTCTGTACAACAGAACGAAACACTGCCTGGTCCTGTGCCAGCCCCACAATGCTTGCTATACCTGAGCCCATTGTTGCAGCCGCTGTGTCAGTCCATCTCGTTGTATTATAGTATGCTATGTAGCTCTGGTGGTATAGTGGGTGAGGTATTCAGCTGGTAACCAGAAGGTCAGCAGTTCAAATCCACCAACTGCTCCTTGGGAGGAAGATGAGGCAATCTACTTCTGTAAAGATTTACAGCCTTGGAGTCTAATGGGATTTGCTATGAGGCAGAATCGACTCGATGGCAGTGGGATTTTCCTCTATAGCATCAGAAATTCTTCAAGCCATACCCAATTTTTAGAAGTTTCTTTGTGTGCTGTGGTTTTTCAGGGGATAAAGGAGGTATCACTTCTTCTCACTCCTATTTTATTTACAAAAGTATTGCCCTAACATAAAAATACTATTTTTCTGTATTTTCTGCCTATAGCGCTTGGAAAGACACAGCAATACCTCGTGCCAGTGAAAGTGAGACTCTGGCTAAAAACATGAAAAAAGCAAAGGAATATGACAATTTCAGACTTCAAAGATGGATAATCCATCACTGGCACCCATATGTGGAACATAAAAAACAACAACTTAACGGTAAATCCTCACATAGTAGCAATTAGTTTTTGTATTAATTCACAGACTCAACAAACTTAATTTCACCTAGTTTTTACACTTAGACACATACTATTTTTATGTTTAGAGAATTGTCACAGAATGAAGTTAGATCTACTGATTTAAAATATTTAATGAGACTTGTGTCAAAGAATTTTATTGTAATAAAAACAGACATATTTTAAGTCACATGCTATATGCTCATGTGTGTATGGATATATAAATATAAGTCAAAATAAGGGTCTGTAATCAGTTTTTTTTTTTCACTAGGGAGGTGGTATACTAGACATGTTGTTTTTGTTGTGCACTGTCTGATCAGTCCAACTAATAGTGACCCTATATGACAGAGAACAACTGCCCGATAGGGTTTCTTAGGCTGTAATCTTTAAAAGAGCCAGGTCTTTTCTACTGTGGAGCTGTTGGTGGTTTTGGACTATTGACTTTTTGGTTAGCAGCCCAGTGCTTAACCACTGCACCACCAGGGCTCCTGTACTATATGTGTGGGTAACCAAAATTACTTTTTGCAGAGAGCTCTTCATTCTTTACTAAAAAACAAAACAAAATAAACCTCAATGCCATCAAGTTGCATCCAACTCATAAAGACCCCTCCTTGGGTTTCCGAGGCATATCACTACAGAAGTAGATTGCCCAAACTTCCTTCCAAGGAGTGGCTGGTGGGTTTGAACTGGCAGCCTTCTGGTTAGCAGTCAAGTGCCTTAGACACTATGCTACGAGAACTCCTTCCATTCTTTATAGATATTTCATTTAATGTATATATGATGAAACTTAAAGAACAATCATTCTTTTTTACTTAAAACATTGATAGTTGTAATGGTGTATGTGCATGAGAGGACAGGTGCTTGTATAGGATTTGGGAAGCAGGAATAGAGAACTCTCAGCCTTTACTTAGATTTTATGCAGCTCACCAGATATCAATTTAGCTGCTGTAACCCAGAAAATCATTATCTTTTGACAGGCTGCTGTTGGTATCTCAGTCAGAGAGCACTCTGGGAAGATTTTAACATAAGTATAAACCCAAAGCCATTGAGTTGATTCTGACTCATAGAGACCCCCATTGGGTTCATAAGGCTGTAAATCTTTATGGAATTAGATTGCCTTATGCTCATCCCATGGAGCAGCTGGTGGTTTGAACCGGACCTTCTGGTTAGCAACCAAATGCCTTACCCACTATGCCAGCAGAGCTCCTTTAACGTACGTATAGTGGAGGGTTAAATCAGTTGCTGTGGAATTGACTCTGACCCATGGTGGTCTCCTGTATATCACAGTGCAGGTGCACTCTAGTTCTCAATGGCTGTTTTCTTGGAAGAGGATCACCAGGCCTTTCTTCGGAGGCACTGTTGGGAGAACTCAAACCTGCAGACTTTCTATTAGCAGTTGAGCTGGTTAACTATTTGGACCATCCAGGGCCTCTACAAAAACCTGTTACTGTTGAATTGATTCTGACTCATTATGACCCCAAAGGAAATAGTAGAACTGCCTCATAGGGTATCCAATGCTGCAATCTTTTTGGAAACTGACTGCCACATCTTTCTCTCATGGCAGCTGGTGGGTTTGAATCCCTAATCTTTCCTCTAGCAGCTGAGTGCTTAAACACTGTGCCACGAAGGCTCCTCCCAGGGACTCTAACTGCATTGCCGTAGAGTTGATTTCGACTCATAGTGACTCTGTAGGACAGAACAGAACCGCTTCATCTTTTTCCTTTGGAGCAGCTGGTGTGCTCTAACTGCTGGCCTTTCGGTTACCAGCCACTTAACTATAGCAGCACAAGGGCTCTTCAAGGTCTCTCTAAAACCAAAAACCAAATTCACTGCCATTGAGTTGATTCTGACTCATAGTGACCCCCATTGGGTTTCTGAGGCGATAAATCTTTATGGAAGTAGATTGCCCCATCTTCCTTCCAGAGAGTGACTGGTGGGTTTGAACTTAGCCACAAGGTCTTTAGAGACTGTTTAAATGGTTGACTAGAATTTCAAAAGTTTGTTGTAATAACTTTCTTGAAATCTCACATCCTTGATAAACGGCAAGCGCTGTAGCAAAAGCAGTTTAGTTTGTTCAGTACAATGGCCTTTCTACTGCTTTGTTTTCCTCTCTGCATTTCTAGGCTATAATTTTTTATTCTACTTCTTAACACCTCCCTCTTCTTGGCAGCTTCTTGCTCCTTCTTTGTGTTTTTCTTCTCACTGTTCTTCCTTTCCCCACTTCTGCACACACTTCCTCCTTCTTTTCTACTTCTCTGTGTTCATTGGTTCTCTCTCTTGCCTTTTGTTTCTTCCACTGCCCAAAATCTGTCTCAGTGTTAGGTTGAACCATATGGAAGTGTTGATATTCTTTCCACCTTCTCTCCTCATTGCTCTCTTTCCCCTACTGCCATTCATCTGCCCCTTCTCCATGTTTACCTCTTTTCCTTCTCTTCTTATCCCACGTGAAGTTGCTTTCATAGAAAGCAGCACTGTATACTCCCCTTCCTGGCCTGGCCCCTGTGCTTGAGCTTTGACCCCTGGTTAATATAGAGATAAGGCAATCTTTTGAATCATAGGACATTTAATTAAATTCAAAGGCATTAGATCTGAATATTACCTCATCATATTTTTTATAAAGGAGCTTGGAATTTTAAAAATAAGTGATTTGTTAAAAAAAATAGGAAATGATATATATTTTGACATTGCTAACCCACCAGCCACTCCTTGGAAGGAAGGTTGGGCAATCCTACTTCCGCAGTGATACTGCCTTGGAAACCCAAGGAGGGGTCGCTATGAGTCAGGGCCGACTCAACAGCACATAACAACAACAACAACATTACATCTTAATATCTAAGG